AGGCTAACATGGGGTTCCAGGGGGAGCCCACAGGGCAGGGAGCACTGAGCTTATGTTAGGCATCTACCCCGGCTCTGCTCAACTCTGCTCCAGCCATGCTGCCAGTGAGATGGGGGAGGTGGGCATGTGTTCTGCTGTTCCATTTTGAAAAGGTGGTCACCCTAACTATATCCTGCCTTCAGTTCTGCACTCAGCCTAAACTTATTGACACAATCGATGTTAAACCCCTTCAGCTTTCCCTTCACCCATCCAGACCACCCCTGATAATTCTCCTGAGTGTCAGGGCCAGAACTCAGCCCTCCTAATGCGCCCTTCCTTGTGCATTCAGAACACACCCAGTTCAGCCTTTCTGTATCTGACTTCTGGTCAGTCTGTACTCTACCTCCTGTCTCTAGTATCTATAATTAGAATCAAGCATAGGAGAGGCAAGTAGCAAATATTTGGAATTACTGAACATGAAAAAGGGAATAAGACAGTTTATATTTGTAATGTTTGTACAAATTAATTGCTATTTATTTTATTTAAATTAAACATTTTACTCTGAGCTGTGGCCTGTAGGCACTCCCATAATATTAATGTGTATTGGTACTCATAAATATATTAATCAATCATGGTAATTGGAAGACACCTAAATGAAGTTGAACTTATTTGTGAACTCTTTTTCAGTAGAAAATGGCTGCTGTATAAGCAAAGGGTGGAAACTCATGAATATTGCTTTGATTGAAAATGCTGCATCTGTTTCCATATATACTGTGGTCACCATTAAAAAATCAGCATTTGTATTTGCTTGCAGCTGCAACATAGTTATATGTGACATGCAATTTGGTCGGTACTTAGAATAGGAAATCACTGTATCTAAGTACAGACAATCAAAAAGCATGAGGCTAAGTTGATTCAATCTTTGCCAGTTAGTCTAAGCTCTGTACACTGAACCAATAAACAAGTGAACAGACATTCACTTTTGATTCCAGAAATGCAGCCACATGCCTGCATTTTTCCAGGCCAGAAACCACGGGGCTTAGAGGTGCTAAATCACACCTCTCTGCTGGGCTGGAGAACATAGCTTAGGCCAAGGCTAGCCCACCCACCCTGAAGGTGGGGGCGTTGCATGGGCAAAGCATCTTGAGATGCTGGGGGACTGTGAGTTAACTCTGAATCTGGAGGGGATCTGGGACAGAAGTTCAATAAACTGATTTAACCTAACTCAGTTAAGTCTGATACTGCAGCCATCCAAGTTTATTTTAAACCAGTTTCTGTTATTTTGAAAGTGATTTATGTGCAGTGAATTTCTGTTGTGTTACAGATTTGAACTGGTTTCTGATCATTTATATGAGTTGATATGTAATTTCTGTCTCTAGCCTATGGTAAAGTTTTGGTGTCTGATGGCAACTAGTGAATTCTCAAAGGCATTTGTAGAAATCCTTTAATGCAGGACAATGCTTTCTCTTTCATGCAAATGAATTATTAATCCCAAATTAGCATTCACTCTATTCCTTTTTCAGACACAGATACTAAAAAGTCTAATAATATTATAGAAATCAAATTTTTTGCAATATTTGCTTTTATCCCAATTTTCACTTTCTTATAACTATTTCCATAGAATATGACACCAAAAATATTGTGTATTAGCTACAAAGGAATAGATAGAGACTCCAGTAGAGATTGCATATAGGGATTACATGAGCTTCACAATTGTATGGTAATGTGTTTGTATAATAAACTTTTCCCTAAAAAACAAAAATCAATCACATACACACATTCCCAAAAAGTGAAATTTTGATACCAGCAGTATTTTAAACTGCCAACAATGTTCCAGTTTTTCCTATTTTTTTCTTTATACCAATAGGAGATCTTTTGATGTCATGAGCTCCAGGTATGCTTTCAAAAAAAATTGTAAAAAATCTCTACTGTATAATTTGAATATCATTCAAACATGTATAATTTGAATATAATTTGAATACAATTGAGATTACATTTGAAGGACTAAGGAAGAGAAACAGAAAATAATTTTTGAGGAACAGGACTGGATCTGTTTCTGAGGTTGTATTTTTTCCTGAATTTCAGGAAAAGGAAACATATTTTCAGTATTCATTTCATTTACCTCTATAGACAGACAAACTATACCTGTGTATCAGCATGAAATTATGAGTCTAATTGTTTTACTTTTTAGTAGAATAGTGATACCTTTGCCTAGCCTCATAAATACATTCCTTTTGTGCCATAGCAATTGACATTATCTCATGTTGTCACTATTTTTTCTCTTTCTAGGTGATGTCATTGTCTATATTAATGAAGTTTGTGTCCTTGGACATACTCACGCAGATGTAGTCAAACTCTTCCAATCAGTTCCTATTGGTCAGAGTGTCAACTTGGTGCTATGTCGTGGATACCCTTTGCCCTTTGATCCTGAAGATCCTGCCAACAGCATGGTGCCACCACTTGCAGTAATGGAGAGGCCTCCAGTAGTGGTAAATGGAAGACATAACTATGAAACTTATTTGGAATACATATCTAGGACCTCTCAATCTGTTCCAGATATAACAGATCGACCACCACATTCCTTGCACTCCATTCCAGCAGATAGTCAACTTGATAGCACATTCCCACCACCTGTTCATGATGATAATGTATCAATGGCTTCTTCTGGGGCCACACAAGCTGAACTCATGACCTTAACCATTGTGAAAGGGGCCCAGGGCTTTGGCTTCACTATAGCAGACAGTCCTACAGGACAGAGGGTGAAGCAAATTCTAGACATTCAGGGATGCCCTGGTTTGTGTGAAGGTGACCTCATTGTTGAGATCAACCAGCAGAATGTACAGAACCTGAGCCATGCAGAAGTAGTGGATATACTTAAAGAATGTCCTGTTGGAAGTGAAACTTCTTTGATTATACATAGAGGAGGTAAGTCTAGAAAGTCTGTACAATTACAAAAATGTGTGTGAAAGGTTCTAAACAAGGGAAGCTCCTTATGCTCACTACATCTGTGTGCACTGGATTGGAAGCTGGGTTCTGGGCAGGGGAGGGGGAATCACTGTTCTTCTGCAAATGTTTGTGTGCATGTACACACACACACACACGTCTGTATGCATATATGAAGTACTGTAGGCCCAATGTAACAGTTTATTGTATATTCTTTGCTGTGTTTTAAGCTCCAACCTTGTGCCAAATATTTTCTGTCTGTATAAGTGTAAAATAACCACCAGTGCATTCCATAACCTTTTAGCATTTAATAGTTTGAATGAAGGTTGCATGCAAATTCTTATAGTCTCAAACCAAAGTATTGCAAGGGTTAAGTAAAATAATTATCTGCCTGTTATTCAAGCATAACAAAACGAGAACAAAACTGAATCTGTTAAAAATGAAAGGGGCACAGTCAAGTTTGTGAGATCATTTGATGTACTTTTTCCTTCCTCATAAAACCATTGTACAATAGAATTTTGTTTCTTCCCCAAAAAACGAAGTTACTCTGTATATTTTTGTCTATTTAAAAATGGCAGCTAGAGCTCAGCTTTCATGCTTATGATAGTAAATATGTGCATTTATTCCTTAGGTAAACAGGTAAAAGCCTGAATAAGAATAGTTCTTTTTAATACCTAGACAGTAAACTATTATTTCTTCACTTAGCATCTTAGTAAAGAACATATATATTTACTGATGTGTTAGTCCAGGTGATAAATACCCAATGGCTACTTCTAAATAAGATTAGATTTTTTTAGTTAAATCACCAATTCCTTTAAATTAGTAATTCTTATATCAATGAATGTATGTTATTCTGAACTTTAAAAAAATTGGATGTGGCTAAGAATATATTTATCACTTTTTGTTTTTAGAAGTACAGTGTGAGCAGTGAAGCAAGTATTAATGTCAGCAGATGCCAAAAGTTACTATAGCAAAATAATTGCAATCTCAGTACCTACATTGCCTACAAACCTAGAACAAATCACGTCAAAGAAACCTGATTACATTTTTCGTATCAAATCACAAAATTAATTGATGGAGAAAACATTAGAAGACTTAATACATGGAGATCCAGCTAGGCAGTTGATAGAGTATAAATCTCAGAATCATCTGTGAAAAATTAATTTGCATTAGACTAAATATAACATTCCATTTATCCCTCGGAATGAAATCCGCCGAAGAACTATGAGCAAAAAGACAAAGAGCAATATAAAAACTTAGAGAAAGTTTAGTGATGTCTGCGAGGGCTGCTGGAGTTGGGGTCAGGTCTAGTTTTATTTTAACGTTATTAATAAAGCAGATACATGGAATAAGCTTCATGTTGATTTATGTGGCAAATGATAGTAAATGGGGTTGAGTGCTGGGTAGTACAAATAATATAAGGGGAACCAGAGAGGTTAGAACACAAAATTATATTTAATATGGAGAAAATTCAAGCTAATGCCTCTCCAGGAGAAAATAATGAAAACAATCCAAACTATCAAGCTTCAGTCAGAAGAGGAGGGTGGAATACAGTAATGAAGAAGAAGAAGGCTGAGTGAGTGGGGACAGCAAAGTAGATTTGAGCTTGCAATACAATTTAGGTAAAAAATGAACTACTCTATTGCTCAGGTAGGTTCTTTCTCTGTGGAATTTCTTTTTAGTTACTTTACTGAACATGCATGCTGTACATAGTTACAGAGAGAAAATGAGCACTTGACAAAACAGTAAGTAGAGCAGGTGTTGGCAACTTAGGGCCCGTGAGCCAGATCTGGCCCACATAGCCATTGGATCTGATCTTCAGAGCCAGGGGTATTTGGTAGCAGCAGCAGAGTGGGCAACTGTACAGAGGGGAGAAGTGGTGCCAGCAACCAGAAAGAGTTCCTAACCACTTAGAAGAGGGAAGAAAATGAGTTTCTACAAGTATTAGAATATGATGGAAATCAAGAAGGGATGGGAGCTTTTGGTAAAATACAAGCAATACAAATAGTAAGCAGGAACAAACAAAAATCAGAAAATATTTCACAACAGGTTTATTAGACTTGAAATCACTCAGACTTGGGGAATGATGGCCTTTGTCTTGAGACATCCAAAACTGCTGAACAACGCAATATAGATATATACATTAAAGGGGATTCTTCTACCGACAGAACAAATAGAATATTTTAATCTATACAGAAATGAGTTTCTTGAACAAAAAATTCTTTCCACTAATTCATAGGTACAGTGTGACTAGAGAAACAGGTTTGTGATCAGTTCTTGTAAAATAACCCAAATATGAACTGCAGCCCTAGCAACATTTAACTTAAACCTGCTAGGATTCTAAAATATTTAATCTGCTACATGGGTGAAGGTAAGTTACTCTTCTTCGTTAGTTTTTTGTACCAGATCTTTCTTTTTTTGCTTGGATACATGACAACACTTGAAATGAACCCTCATTTTCCATCTGTTCCTTGTGTGTCCAATCACTTTTTACTTTTGCTAAGACAAAGAACAGTCTATTCCTTTTTTATAGCATTTGCTAGAAGATGGAAGTTGAATGTTACATATTGTTATTGGAGACTTGTAATGTGTCCATATATATTGACCAGTACAGTATAGTGTTAAAAATCTATTTTCAGAAGAACTGAGTTTTTCACTCTCTAGTTAATCAGTTTTGTCCTCCTTCAAAGCACAAAAAAAAGTTGATATTCATCAAGAAATATATTCGCTACAGGTACTAACAAAAATCTTTTTGCCATGGAACTGGCAAAAAAGCATTTTGCCCTTAACATTTCAATAGCATGGATGTGTAAGGGAAGAAAAGCTATGGATCTATCATGGGGGGGAGATGGGAGAAAAATAGTAGTATCCAAAATAAAGAGTTTGCAAAGGTATCAGGACCTAGCTTGAACTAACTGTAGCTGGAACTTCACAAATTGATGATCACCAATCATCATTGATCATCAACCTGTCATCAAACAATGATGACCATTTCAGGAGGAGGAAGTATTACTAGTTTTCCACTGTATTTACCTTATGTCCTCTGAAGTAGTAGTATAAGGCCTCTTTTGATCTGATATCATCAGTTCACGGGTTTTGCTATATTGCCAGAGAAAATTAGATATTATTTAACAATAAAAATATGAGCAGTGTTCAGGTCAGTATGTGTTCAAACAGCTAACAAGAAAAAGGAGTCATGGGGGTTCAAGAAGCACAAAATTTGTTTACTGAATAATGCAGCTGCTGAGCTAAATTTGGGTCAAACTCCCCATTTATTACTTTTTTGCTGATTCCATTCCTCTGGATCTGTTTTCTGTTGGTGAACCCCAAGTACCCCCTCCCTTGACTTGGGGGAGGGAGGAGAAAGTCACGCACATCCCTTTGCTAAAGGTGGAAACTACCTGCCCCACTTCCTTGATAAGGCATCAAATATTGAGATTAGAGGATAACACTACTGAAGGTGAAATAAAACTAAAACTTGACATGAACAGTGTAAATCCCAGTCCCCGTCTCCAGGCTGAAGGGTAACAAAATAGTGGAGGGCCCCTCTTCTGAGAGGGAGTGGCAGAGTAAGTGGGCATGTTTCTACCCACAGCATTTCCCATCACTGCCATATACACAAAAATTCACAGTGGTTTTTTACCTGAGAAACTTGCTGCATCAGATAGCAGCACGCTTAGACACAGTGATTTCCTATTCTAAGTACAGACCAAATTGCATGTCACATATAACTATGTTGCAGCTGCAAGCAAATACAAATGCTGATTTTTTAATGGTGACCACAGTATGTTGGTCAACCCCAAGTGCCCCCAATGTGGAGGCTCCTGCACTCTACATTGGCTACTTACTGAATCGCAGTGTTACTGAATTCACACAGCAGTGCTGATAGGCTGATTAGCACTGCTGAAAGTCAGTGCTAGTTAACCTGTCC